ACATAGATAATGTTGATTTCTGGTTTTCTAAGTGAGTTTAATATCACTGAGGGAAAGAGCACTGGGCCTGAAGTCAGGAAGATCTGAATTCAAATTATGCCCCTGACAGTCACCTACCTGCTGTTTGCCTCAGTTTCCTCATCTTTAAAATGGGGGTAGTATAGCACCTATCTCACAGAATTGTTTGTGGGGATCAAATAAGATGTGCAATACATGCCCTTTATTTTTTTGAAGGCAATCAGAGTGAAGTCATTTGCCCAGGGTCACACGGCTAGTAAATGTCTGTGGCTAGATTTGAATTCAGATCCTCCAGACTTAAGGACCAGTGCTTTCTCTATCCACTCCACTATGTAGCTGCCCCCAACACACGCACTTTAAAAAGCATGATAGAAATGAAAGTATATAGAAATAGGGTTTGAGCTCAGTTACTGTAAGCCTGGAATCAACTTTCTTTCCCAGGGCTGACTGGAAAAGTTAACTGAGCTGACTGCCCACTAGGGTTTGAAGAGATCTTAGAACAGTCAGGGCTTAGAGATGGAAGGCATCTTATGGATTGTCTAATCCATCTCCCTCATTGTACATGTAGGAAACTGAGGCCCAGAGGAAGGAGTTGCCTTGCCTTGGGTCCCTGAGTGAGTTAGGGGTGGTAGGGAGTGAGCTGGGATGCTAGGTGTCAGCCTATAATTGAGGGCTGGGGTTCCTAGACAAGAGAGGTCGCTGGGAAGGATGGGACTGCTAAAGCTGCTTTCATGTTCTCAGGAGTCTCAGGCCTCATGGCTGGATGCCGTGGTACCACATCTCGCTGAAGTCTTGCAGCTTGAGGATACGCCCAGCATCCAGGTGGAGGTTGGGGTCTTGGTTCGTGACTACCCCGATATCAGGTGAGGGGAGCGGGGGGGGGGGAGAACCTGGGGCAATGAGTAATCATAGCAACAGCCATAAACGTGAAGAGCCTTTAAAAAGGCCACTGAGCATATTGGAGGTGGGGGCAAGGATTTGAACCCAAGGCCCCTGCCTCCTGAGCCCATCCTCTTTCCACCTCACTCCACTTCCTGCCCAAGGTGCCCTGGGCCCAGGCCAGCTCTGGGCTGGCTGCTGTGGCCTTCTGGGGTTTTGGCTCAGCTTTTCCCTGTTTCCTGCCCCCGGGGGTGGAGTGAGCGTGTCTGATGGCCGTTTCCTGCCCTGGCCCCTCCCGCTCACACCCGCCACTGCTGTGGGCACAGGGGAGACAAACAGGAGGCCACAGGAAGGGCCCGGGGGTGGAGGGTGGGGAGAAGAGGAGGGAGAGGAAGAGGAGGTGGGGAGGCCCCAGTGCAGCAGAGCCACTAGCAGCCCCACGGGAGCATGATGGGCGACCAGGGAACTGTGGGTAAACCCTGAGGGAAGCTAGAAACTAGGGGCAATCACATTCACACACACATGCCAGGCTTGGCATTCTAGAGATGTATTGGAGGGGCCTATTCTGGATGGGGTTCAGAGCTGGAGGTTCTAGCTCTGGCTTCTGGGCTCTAGAGGTAAGGATTCCAGGACTGACGTGGTTGACTGGGGAGGCTGATTCTGGAGTTGCCTATATGAGCAGTAAAGCTACCAGAGCTGTGTTGTGACCATGCCTGGGGTTCTGAATCTCAGTTTGGGGTTTCTATATTTGATTTTTGGGGTGGTGAGGACTACACAATTTGATGGGCTCTAGCTTGCAGCACTTGGGGAGAATATAGACTCTAGATATATTTTGGGGTGGGGTTCTAGGGCTGAACTAGGGTAAGAATTAACCTAGGGGAGTGTCAACCCCCCCCCAAACAGTGGGTGAAAGAATGATGGTTCAGGATATGGGTCTCTGGGTTCGAGAGCTGCCTTTGGGAGAGGTCCAAGCCCATGTCTGCATAGAATGATGGTTCTGGACCTGAGTTGGATGGTGAGGGTTCTGAGACCTCAATTTTATCCTCTCATCTCTCCCTAGGAGGAAGCACGTGGCTGCCCTCTTAGATGTGAGGGGCCTCCGAAGTGCAGCTGCTCGTCATGAGATCCTGGCTGTGGCCCGTGACCTAGAGCAGAGTGGGGAAGGGGCTCCTGCCCCTCCCAGGGACCGAGCTTTTTTTGCTGACATTACTGTGCCTCGGCCACCTTTCTGTCTGGGCCTCCCTCTCCCACTTGCCCGACTCCCCCTGGCCCGACTCACTAGGCCTGATCTTGCCTGCCTGCCCAGACCCCACCCTCGGCCCCCAGCTCGGCCTCGTGCCCAGCCCTGAGTGCACCTGGGACTCCTACAACCTGCCCTGTGATGCTGCTGTCCCAGCCTGGAAGCCTATGTCGTCTCCCTTTCCCCCAACATCTGCTGCTGAGAAAGACTTTACCCCCAAGGATGGATTCTGTCCCTGGGTTTCAAACCAGGTCATAGAGTAAGGGATGTCAGAGCTGGGAGAGTCCTCAGAACAGAATGTCATAGCTAGGAGAAGTCTAGGAACATGGAATATCAGAGCTGCAAGGGACTTTAGAACATGTACCATGAAAACTGGGAGAATTTCTAGAACACCAAATGTCAAAATTGGGAGGAACCTCAGAACACAGAAGGTCAGTGCTGGGAGGCACCTCAAAACATAGAAAGTGAAGGTTAAAAAGAAAGTTAGGACCCAGATCAATAATCAATCAATAAACATTTATTAAGCACCTACTATGTGCCAGGCACTACACTAAGTGCATGGACTATCACGGTGGGAAGATACATCAGATGTGGAGTTTTATTCCCTCATTTTAGAGATGGGAGAACTGAGGCTCAAGAGTGAGGAAAGGGACTTCTCCCTAGGTCACACAGCAAGCCACTGGCCAAGCTGGGAGCCAGGGCTGCTCCGGAGATAGGGTAGGTCCCATAGAAATAATGCAGGGTGTGCCTTGCTCTGCCCAGTCTCCTTCTCTCTTCCCTCTAAACTTGTTCTTGGGGTGGCTCCTCATTTAATAAGGAATGTATGATGATAAAATAAATATGTTTCTATTTAACGAGCAACTGAGGCTGAGTTCTGTTTTGGAAGGTGGGGGTGGATGGCAAGTGGGGAGGCAACAAGCAGGCCCCTGAGGCAAGTTCGGGGCACCAAGCCCTCTCTCCCACATCGAGCTGGGCCAGAAGTTAGGGGTGTGAACCCCAAGGTGGCTAGGGTCCCCTAGCAGGAATCTCCCTGCAAAAGGGAGAAGGCTTGGCCTTCCCTTCCAAGGACTCCCAGTCTGAGCAGGAAACATGGCCCTATGCCTTACCACTGGCTGCTTTAGGCCCCCCTCCATAGGACTCTACTTTCTGAAGGAACTTCATTTACATCCTATACCAGGAGAAGGGAACAGTCTGGAGAAGAGGAAATGAAGGGGTTCCCCTCTTACTCCTCTCCCTCCATCAAAGGTTTCAGATATCTAGGAGCTTATAGGATAAGATTTAGAGCTGAAAGGGATCTCAGAGGCCAGATAGCCAACGCCCTTTCACAGATGAAGAAAACCAGTCCGGAGCAGGGTAGGTCCAAGGTCACAAAGTTAATGAGTGTTAGAAACAAGATTTGAACTCGGTTCTGGTGAAAAGGGGCATGTGATCTCAGCTGAGCTCCTCACACACCCTGCCACACCCAAGCTGCCACACTGGCTGCTTCTAAGAAGCCTTCCAGGGCCAATCCTTGCCAGCCTGGGAGTTTCAGGGGGTCCTACAGGCGATAGAGGTAAGGCATGGCCTTTTCCAATCTCTTCTTCCCAGTCTCTAGCCTTGGGTAGGTAGGTAAGCTCCCTTGGCCCCAGAGCTAGGAGTGGGAAGTAAGGCCCTGCCCCTCCTCTGCCTCACTGTGAGACCCTGGCCTAGATCCCACACCTTCCCTTGCCCTTGGTTTCCCCATCTGTCCAGAAGATTTGGCCAAGGCGACCTTTGTGGTCCCTTCCTGCCCTGACACTCTGGGATTTGGTGACTCCCTGCTGGGTCCCCAGAGGCCCTGGGAAGGAGACAGGAATTTGATTTGTTTCCTTGTTTTTCTTCCTCAAGGGGAGGGGGAAGGGAGATAGCTAAAGGCAGCCAAGGGTGAGGGCCAAATTCTGCCCTCTGGGAGCCACCCCTCCCAGCTTCCAGCTAGAAGTGTTGGGGGGGATGGGGGGAGGGAGCTGTGGTGGTGGGGGAAGTGCAGGAGGGAGAGATACAGGGGAGGGGGCTGTGGTGATGGAGGAAGTGGGGGGGAGGGATACAGGGGGAGAGGGCTGTGACATGCATGGGGGGGTGGCGGGAGGAGAGGGCTCTCTGCTTGTTCTAAGGGAGAGAGCCTTGAGACCTTTCCTGCCTCTGCCCCTCCCTGGGTGGGTTTGCTGAGTGGCTTTGGCCAAATACATTCCCCTCTCTGAGCCTCGGCTTCCATGCCATTGGAAAAATGAGAGAGTGGCACAGATGGATTGCAAGGGCCCAGCTTGAACCCAAGACCCAGAATGTCAGACCTAAGGAAGACTATAAGGAGACTGGTCCCAGGGGCTGGCAAGGAATTTTGGAGATTTATCAAAATCCATCCCCTCCCACCTAATTTTACAGAAGGGATAACAAGACTAGGAACAGGAAACCACTTGCCCAGGGTTACAGAGCAAATAAGGGAAGGAGGTCAAGATAGGAACCAGAGCTCCTGAGGCCTGTAAATCATCACAGTGTATTAACTCCCCTCCACCCCAGCCAGGAGTCTGTGACAACTTCTAAGAGTGGGGAGCTAGCTGTGAGGGAAGAGGAGGAGGAGGAGGAGGAGGAGGAGGAGGAGGCCTCCTGCATCTCCCCCATCACCCCTGCCCTTTCTGCTCTCTGGGATCCCTTCAGTATCTGGAGGGCTGACCATGGGCAACAGAGGTCAGGCTGCCTCTCCTGGGCCCCACTCAGCAGACTTGAGAGTGATGAGGGGTAGAGGTGGGGTTTAGACCCAGAACTCCCAGCACGACTGTGGGCTGGGGTGGCACCAGGATGGTGGTGAGTGTGCTTGGCCATGGAGCTATTGATAAGACAGATAGCTGGCTAAAGAGAAAACAATTTATTATGACAAGTTACAGCTATGGCTTCTGAGGGCTGGGGTTTCTCCTCAAAGGGACCCTAGAAAGCAGGACAGAGAGATGAGCCAAGCAGAGGAAACCCCTCTGTTTGCCCCTCTCTTCCCACCAGCAGCAGTCACTGCCCCTCCCACAACAAAGGGCCTCCAACTGAGCCCCCACCTCCCTCCCACAACTTCTTCAGGATCCTCTGAATGCTCTGAACCGAGAGTTGAAGAACATCAGAATCAGGATGATGAATTTGAAGTTCGAGGTCAGGGGCCACAGCAACAAGCTCTGAGGAAAGGAGGGAGCACAGTGGTCAGGAGGCAGCCTGGCCTCAGCCTGGCTCCCAGGCCCAGACCACTGGGGCCTGGGGCGTTGCCCCATCAGGGCCTCCTCAGACACCTCCAGGAGAAACACAGCTCAGCAGATGACTGCTGAATTAGTAACATTAGCCGTGGAGCACAGTTGTATTTAACTTCATAAGAATTTCCCAATTACATTTTAATCTGGTCTGGGCAGCACTTTGCTGTTTGTCACTAGACTACATGATCTCTAAGGCCCTCCCAGCTCTGACTTTCCCTGTTCTAAGGACTCTGACATTCCATATTTAAAGTCCCTCCCAACTCTTGCATTCTCTGTTCTAAGGTCCCTTATGGTTCTGATATTCTTTATTTTCAGGTGTTCTTCCAGCTCTGACATTCTAAGATTCTTCCATATGAGTGTTACATATTATACTGTCAGTCAGCCAGTAAGCATTTATTAAGACTTTACTATGTGCCAGGTATTGTGCTAAGTGCGGGAAATACAAATATAAGCAGAAACAAAGACAGTCCCTGCCCTCAGGAAACTTCAATTCTAATGGAATGAAAAAAAGAAGCTGAAAAAGGAGAAGAAAGATAGGAGAAGTTCTAAGCAGAACACTCTGCAGTGCAGCCTGGAGAGGGCTGAAGATAACTGTTGCCTGGACCTTCCCCTCAAAATGGAAGTTCTGGAAGGAACCAATCAATCAGAAGGTAATGCCTCAGGGGGCAGAAAATGCTGAGGATGAGGCAGCTGGTAATGCAGCTGATAGGGTGCTGGGTTTTGAGTTAAAAGACCTGAATTCAAATCTGATCTCAAATACTTACTAACTATATAACCCCAGGCAAGTCACTTAACCTCAACATGCCTGAGGTTCCCCAACTGTAAAATGGGGGTAATAATAGCACGTACCTCCCAGGGTTGGCGTGAGAATCAAATAAGATATGTGTAAAGTGCTTAGCACACAGTAGATATTATAGAAATGCTTCCTCCCCTTCCTCTGTTCTGATGTGAAAAGTAGTAGAGAAAATATACTCATGTATTCATTTGTTGTGTCCAATTGTGTCCAACCCTTCATGACCCCATTTGGGGTTTCCCATTTCCTTCTCCAGCTCATTTTACAGATGAAGACAGTGAGGCAAACAGGGTTAAGTGACTTGCCCAGAATAACATGCCTAGTAAGAGTCTGGGGCTGGATTTGAACTGAAGAAGATGAGTCTTTCTGACTCTATTCCCAGAACACTACCCCATGCAGCGCCACCTAGCGGCCCCCATGTATTTATGCTGTATGAATTAAGAGAGGTTACCTTGTGTTCTAATCTTCATGTTACAAACAAATAACTGTCTGGGAGGCAGCCTGTGGCATATACAGTATCAACCTCACTTAACATTGTATAAATTATGTCCCTACTGTTTGTAACAGTTTGGTATTATCTGACACATGTAGAGTACAGTCTGTTCACTTCAAGGCTTTGCACATAGCAGGTACCGGATAAATAGAATTCAGCCTCTGTGCTCGAGAACCCTGGTACTGGGGTGCACAGTTCTGTGAAGGGGAAAGAGTCAGACAGCCCGGGGGTTCTAGTCTATCCAGGAGGCGATTGAATCCATCCCATACAGGAACAGGATCTTCACTAGAACACACCCAGCAGATGCTCCTCCAGCCTCAGGCTGAAGACCTCCAAGGAAGGGGAACTTGCCTCTCAAGGCAACCCAGTGACCCTTGGGATGGCTCTTGTCCTCAGGAAGTTTGTCTTGATCTCAAGCCAAAACTGACCACCTTTCAATCCCTTCTTCCCCTTGCCCCACCCCACCGCCAATCCCTCTGCTCCCAGGTCTGCCCTCTGAAGCCAAAGAACATAGCTAATTCCCTTCCTACATGCAAGTACTAGAAAACAGCCATCATGATCCCCTTGTGTCTTCTCCAGACCGAGTACCACCAGTTCCCTCAGCTGATGATATACTCTGGATACCAAGCCCTTCATCATCCTGGTTTCCCACCACCGGAAATTTTCCCACCCATTAATGTCCTTCTTAAACCATGGTGCCTCCTCATGAAGTATGTGGGACTACCACCTCCTTATTCTTGGAAGCTACTGCCCCACTTTACATGGTTCAAGATCAGCTTTTTGGGGCACCCCATTACATGGCTGACTCATATTAAGCTTGTAGTCTACTAATACCCTCAGCTCTTTTTCAGACACACTCCTGCTTCACCATGTCTTTTATATCATATCCTTTCTGGGCTTCAGCTTCCTATTCTGTAAAATGAAGCAGCTGGATTCAGAGTGGTCATGCAAATTCACTATGGTCTATGAGTATATGATGAAAAATTATTTTTCCTTTGAAAAAAACCATTTGGAGTCACGAGGACCTGAGTTCAACTTACTAGCTTACTACTACAGATACTTACTAGTTGTGTGTCCCTGGGCAAGTCACTTAATCCCAATTTCCTTTAAAAAAAAGGCTCACCCATGTCTCTGACTCCATGCGGCAAATCTAAATCAACTCCTCTGCAGTCAGTTCATCACCCTAATATTAGATGGGACAGTGGCAACTCACCTATCCAGAGCCTACTTATCTAATGTCCTAATTTCTAAAAAGTTAGATTTCAGGAACCAAACTTATTTGTGGCCTTTTCTATTTCTGTCTTTTGCTCCTGTCACTTACTTTCATCTTTAGTTAACTCTACATACCCTTCTAATCTTTAAGAAAAAATTAAATTAAATCTATTTCCTCCCCTTCCCACTTTCCCCCTTGAAAAAGGAAAAAGAAAAAAGCCCTTACAATAAGCATGCCTAGTGAAGGAGAGCAAAATCCCACGCTGGCCATGTCCTAAACCTTAGGTCTGGGTCTGCACCATTAGTCTATCCTTCTCTAATCTGCTAATTCTAATCTTTTCTGGACTTAGAGAACCACAGCACCAGGATTGTAAGAATATTGTCTTGAATAAGAGCTAATAGGTTTAGAGTAAATACCCAATGGGTTCTCTTAGAAGAAGATGCAGAAGCTTGCATGCCCATGCACACATTTTGGAGCCCGGGTGTTTCATTTTTGGGGTCTTGTCACATTCTTGATTCTGTTCTGGACCAATGACTTCTAGAGAACAGCATATCAAATAAGTAAGGCCCAGTGACCTCAATTCAGAAGGACAGAGTTCCTGTGAGCTGACTCGTAGCCACCAAGTTCCACATACCTGCACTCTAGGCTGTTGATAAGAGCCCTAAACATCAAAGTTACCTACAGTGGGTTCTAGGTAACTACATCTGGCATCATTGAATTTTATAAAATTGGCTGGGTTCCTGACAACCAAGTTCTAGAGAGTCATGTGCCCTATAACTGAAGGGCTCCCCCCCGACAAAAGCCAAGGTCTTCGGCATTGGTCAGATGGGCTTTGGATAAGTGAGTTCCCATTGACCTATCCAGCATTATGACAACTGGCACCAGGGAATGCGTTCCAATCTGTAAATCTGGTGGGAGGCATTTCCTTCAAGGCCTCAAGATTCAGTATCAGACCCAGGGAGGAGGGGGCTTGCTCTGATGACTTTCTCAGAACATCTGAGCCCTCCACAAGCTATGTGGCTGAGAAGCTAAGGGGCCAATGGCCCAGCATTGACACTGACAGGCTGTGGCACCCTCTCAGTGCCCCAGGCAACTCAACAACTCCAGACTGCAGACAAGCTGTATTGGTAGAGGGAAGGTCCTCACCAGGAGTTCCCTACCTCCTATGAAGTCACAGGTCCAACAACTCATCCTCTCCTAAGGGAGGACTCAGAGCTGTGAGGGACCATGGAGATCACCTGATCACAGCCACTCTCAGTTCACAAGTGGAAAAAAAATTGAATTCTGGAGATTCGGGTCTTAGAATCACAGATTTAGAGATGGAAGGGAAGCCCCTGAGCCATCCCCTTCATTTTACAGATGAGGAAACTGAGTCTCAGAGACATTCAGTGCCTTCCTCAAGACCTCACAGCCAGGACTGGAATTTCCTAATCCAGTATTCTTTCCTGTGTACCAGACAAACCCTGGGCAAGATGACTGATGAGGTTTCAGTACATGGCAAGGCTAGGATTTCAGCCCAGGTCTTTTGAATCCAAATCCAATGTTCTTTCCATGACACTGTAACTGGGGAAGACATCTGACTTCATTCATGCCTCCCACTCTTTCCTGAACACCATGGCTTTTGCTCCAAAAAAACTCATTATCCCACCTCACCCCGATACACCCCCCCCCAAAGATCCAACTTCTACCAAGATGTGTGCAGATAGGTGATCATGGCTACAGCATTGGACCTGGAGTCTGGAATACCTGAGTTCAAATCCAGCCTGAGAAACTTACCAGTGTGTGACCCCAGACAAGTCACTGAACACCCTCTCTGACTCAGTTTCCTCAACTGGAAAATGAGGATAATAACAGCACCTATCTTGCCAGGGTTGCTCTGAGAATCATATCAGATCTTTGTAAAGGGGTTAGAAGAGTTCCTGGCATGTAAGAGTATCCTTCCTTCCCTCCTTAGCCAACCCAACAGGCCAGGAGTTGGTCTGGACACCTTCCCTATTAGTTCAACCCAATGGGCACCCCAGTCACTCACGTGGACAGAGTGTAGGAAACACCCCCAGCTGAAGTTAGAGATGCCTACGGTGTCTAAGGCTTCTCTGACAAAGTCATCTGAAGACTTCACCAAGAATTTTCTGGGTGGCATCTGGCTCATGTTGCTGGAAACTACCAGAGGAGTAAGAGTCTGGAGAAAGAAGTTGATGACTGGATGGAATATCATTACTGTCACTCTACCAAACTTCAGAAAGCTTCCTCCCCCTTAGCTTGTCTCCCGTCTTTGCCCCCAACCTCCTATTATCTCACCAAACCTGTTGCCTCTCACCAATCCCACTTACCTTGGCCCCCTTGCCCTCTTCCCAAGCTCTCCCCCATCTCTGAGCTCCTCACAGACTTTCCCATCCATCTCTTCAGGCCCTAACAGTTACACAAGTGCATTCACACACCCACACCCATACCTGTATGATAACTCCAGAGGACTGGTATTCCAAGGCCACAGACCGAGAGAAGCTATTCATAAAGGCCTAGGAGTGAGAGAGGGTGAGTCGCAGAATTTTAGCATCAGAAGAGACCCAGAGTACAGTTAGTAGAACCCACCCCTGAAGAGGAGTCTTCACTACACCCCTCAATGAGAAGTAGTCCTCCAGCTTCTGTTGGAAGACCTCCCAAGATGGGATGCTCACTACCTCCCCAGGCAGCCTCCACTCTGGGGCAGCTCTCATTGACAGGACCCTTGTTCTGCCCTGGGCACATCACTGCTCCTGGTTTTGCCCTCTGGGTACAAGGAGAACAAGAGTGGTTCTTGTCTACATGACATTCTTCCAAGTCCTGGAGGAGAGTTCCCAAGTCCTGCATGAAGCCTTTTCTTCTCCTGGCTAAATATGCCTGGTTCTATTGACCAAACAGCTAAGAAGTATTTAATAGCCCACTCTCTGCAGGGGTTCTTCTAGGCACTAGTGATAAGATAAAAACCGAAAGCCAAACAAAACAAAACAAAAACAACCAAAGCAATAACTGCCCTCCAGAGGCTTCCATTCTATCCTGAGAAACATGTGTCCATATGCATACATATCAAACATATGCAGCTAGTGGCCCAATGACAGTGTGCTGGGTCTGACTTCAAGCAAATCTGAGTGCAAATGCTGCCTTAGACATGTACTGGCTCTGTGACCCTGGGCAAGTCACTTAACACCAGCTGCCTCAGGGGAAAAAAAAGACTTTTAGTGAGGGGTAACCTACTCCCTTCAGAGGAAACTCATTCTATTTTTTATAGGTCTGGTAGTTAGGAAGCTTTTCTTGATATCATGCCTATATTTGTTGTTATTGAGTTGTTTCAGTCATGTGTGACTCTTCGTGACCCCAGTTGGGATTTTCTTGGCAGAGACGTTGGAGTGGTTTGCCATTTCCTACTCCAACTTATTCTGCAGATGAGGAAACTGAGACAAACAGGGTTAAGTGACTTGCCCAGGGTCACACAGTCAGTGTCTGAGGACAGATTTGAACTCTGGTCTCCCTGACTCCAGGCCTAATGCTCTATCCACTGTGATACCCAGCTGCCCCAAATCTAGATTTGCTTCTGCAACTTCCATCATTGTCCCTCCTTCTGCCCTAAACAGAAAAAGTTAAATCCCTTTTCCATATGACAGCCCTTCAAATAGTTGGAGACAGCTCTCACATTACCCTCACTTGCAGTCACCTCTTCCCTTGACCATACACACCCAGTTCCTTCAACAGATCTTGATGTGGCAAACACGAAAGGAGAGAATGGAACAGAGCCAATCTCCCTTGCCTCCCACGCTTTAGTACCATCTCAATGCTGATGACTCTCAGAGTACAACCTTTAGCCCTGGCCTTACCCATAAGCTTCAGGCCCATTGCCTGCACCTGGAGCACATCCAGAAGCAAGACAAGACCTTTTTCCTTTACCCATACTTCTTTCTGACCTTAGTACCACCATGCAACCATTCTCCTCTGATAAGAACCTTAGAGGTAGCTTTGCTCCTTCCCTCTTTCCCCTGCTAGGATCCAGTCAGTGACCAGGTCTTGAGGAGTTCACATCCCTGGTACCTTTCGTATCCCCTCCTCCCTTTCTAGGGACACCACTGTGGTTCAAGCTCTCACCACCACCTGTTTAATCCATCAGAACAGCCTCCTCACAGGTGTTCCTAGGTCCACTCTTTCTCCTTAACCATCTATCCCTCAAACCTTAGTGAGGATCACCTTGCTTATGCACAGATCTCTCTATATCAGTCCCTTGCTCAGAAAACTTTTAACAGCTCCTTATTGCTATTAAATAAAATGTAAAGCATCCTCTGTGTCCCAGCAGAATGATAGCTTCTTCCACCCAACATACTGTCATGTGCTTGAAGACACTTCTAGGCCAAGCACCCCCAGTCCCTCCAACTAATTCCTGTACTTCCTAAATATCACTCCCTCATAGCCCTGTTCTAAACTTCTGGACCTCAAAATCTTCTCTTCTTGCTATCTGCCCTAGACACTTTCCTCAGGACCTGGGACCTCCTCACTCTAGAGCATCCTTCCAACCTTGCTGCCTGCTCAGCCAAGGAATATTTCTCTGCAAGGGTGGTCACCCTGATCTTACTGGCCAGTTCCATCGGGAGTCTCCTTTTGGTGGAGATGCCTAGACTGACTCCCTTTTATTCCTCTCCTGGCCCTACTCAGGACTTTCTGGATTTCAGAATGATGACCCCTCTATTCCCCAAGCTTAGGGTAAGGATTGTTTATTTTGCTTGTACCCATATCCCCAGTGCTTATCACAGAACTGAGGCATAATATTTCTTAAGGAACTCTTGTGTCCTTCCCTCATGTGGCAAGCTTTGTCACTGCCAAAAGGCAAAAGTGAACCTCAGCTTCCATTGCTATCTCTCAGGAGGCTCCTGGGGCCCCACTTGGTAAGGGGGCACTCAGACTTTGGCTGGTTTGGTTTTATTTCTCTATGAGGCCTCCCATTATGAAATTACTGAACCCATAGGGGTAGTGGGTATATGGGGATGAAGGGCTTAGTATCTACTCTCTGGTTTTATACACACTAGACCTGAAACCGAGAGAGCTGGTTACCCAATGACTTTGAGAGAATCAGGGTAGAGGGGGCACTCCCCCCACCCCACTGCTCTCGCCTCCACATGGGACACTCTGTTCATTCCATCCCCATGCCTGAACCTCTTTCTTGTTCCTGGTAACTTGAAAGGGTCTGGGACCCATTTACCGTAGTAGCCCCATATAATGCCAAGAATGGGGAAGGCTGTCTGCCAGCCTCAGGGGATATGTTGATGATGACTCCTCGTCCCCTGCAGAGTTGGAGAAGAAAACTGAGAATGGCAGAATCAAAGGCAAATGAGTGTCTCAGGGGCAGAGGGGTGTGTGAGATAGGCCAGGAGGTCTGTATGGATGGGAAGGCAGGTTCTAGAGATGGGGAGAAGGGGATGCCTGGGCCCCTACCTGGCTGCCATCTCAGTCAGGATGATCTGGGTCATCTGTGGAGGAAGAAGCAAAGGCTAAATCTACCCAATGATCCACCCTTGGCCCACTCCCCAATCTCTCCCCATATCCCCCCCCACTCCCTTCCATCCACTGCCAACAATGCTTCTTGTCTCTTCTGCCTCACTGTCACCTGAATCATTGACAGCATGTTAGAATTCATCACATCTCTGAAGCTCTGGGAAGACAGAGGACACCTTTCATTTTTCATGGGCCCCATGGTCTCTCACTTCCCCCTAAAGCAATCTGGCCATGAATTCTCAGGTTGGAGTTTGCTGAGACATTAAGGTCTTTCTCAACCTTCAAGGCTCCCCATGCCCCAATCAAGTTCCAAGTCCTCTAGGAAAATTTCCCTAAGCACTCAAATCCCTTCCCCCAAGCTTGACCCAAGGCCCAATTAAAACAAATCAAACCACATTTGTAAATAAATAGAGGGAAGACAAATAGACTTAAACTGGAACAAAGTGTCAGAATTTTGAAGGCAATATTTTGTCAACATTGATTATTATTATGGCCACAAAAGGAAGGAGAGCTCACATTTCTCACCTGATTTAAATTTACAAAGCACTTTCTGCCTGTTGGAAAGGTGGGAGAGGTGGGGGTGGTGAGATAGGAGGGAAGATGGGGCAATGAAACAAGGGGCACATAAAGAGGGCAGGAATAGGGAGGGGAGAAGAAGAGATGGAAAAATTGAGAGAAATGGAAAAGGGCATGAGTTGGGCAGGGAGGGGGGATGTAGCTTCCTCTACCTTGCCTGCATTCTTCAAATCCATTAGCTTGTGGAGGGTTATCTTGGAAGCTACTCTAACATTGTTGACTGTAAAAACACAGGTCAGTACCACAGAGCAAGGTGATGGAGAGGAATTCTAGGGGCAGGACTGAGAAGGGAAGAGGGAATGGGTGTGTACCTAGAATGCCGATGTCTAGGCCCTCCAAGCCTCTTTCAACTGTCTCATAGATCTCTAAGCCTCCAGTGAAGTCCACCTGGATGACTCTTGTTTCCTTACCATGGAGTCTCTCTGTAGGAAAACTCAGAGAATTCAGAAACAGAAGCTTAATGCTGCTCCTTATTACATAGATGAGGAAAGGCCCAGAGAAGACATGGGATTGACTGGCTCAGGCTCACACACATCTCGTATCTAGCAGAGCTGTGTCCAACCTGGGTCTTTGGGTTCCAAATCCCATTGTGGAACCTTGAACAACCTCACTTCTCTCCCATGGCCCTCCTTTCTAGTGCAGCCCTCACCAATGTCCTCTGCCTCCCGATGTAACTTGCTGAGATATCGGCTCACCAGTACAACATTGAGGCCTCTTCGGGCCAGCTGTATGGAGACAGGAGAATGGGGAGATTGAGGGAGTGGGCACACAGAACCTCCCAAACGTACAGAAGACTCAAGAGGGTCCATCCAAATAAGCTGGTGTGCATAGGACAAAGAAGGATGTGGGGAATTCATAGGAACCCCTGGGCAGAAACATTCAGGACAAATATGGATGTACTTACCTGTCTGTCTATGTATCTGTCCTGTCTACTTGTGTTTCTATCATCTATCCATCTTTCTGTATGTATGTATATACATTCACATGTAACATTAATTAGTACATTTATATGTATTTACAGAGGAATCCCCCTGCAAACACATGTCCTGAGGCTCTAGAAAATGATGAGGGCACATAGAGAAAAGCACACAAGGGAGAAACACCGAACGCAGGGGACCATGTATGTGGAATGCAATGGAATAGATATGTGGGGTTCTGCCCAGGTACATTGAAGAGAGATTCAGTTGGCCCCTCATGAGCATAACTCCTGCCGATTCCACTTGTAGCCCCAGTTACCACTGTAGGAAGACAGACGCTGGGAATGCAGACCTGTGTGTCCCTGGGGGGAACCCTCTGGAGGACCCACCCATTGGGAGATCCCAGGAAGAGGCAAGAGAGAGCCTCTACTCTCCACCTTCTTCTGAATCTACCTCCATGGTCCAGGAAATGAAAAGCACTTTAACCTGTTTATACAGTGGAACTCAACCTTGAAATGAGAGCCTGCGCAATGGGAATGCGCAAGCAGGGGCCTGCAGCCCTAGGGACATCCCTGCATATGAGTACCTATATATGCAATACACAGATCAGAGGATCTGAGATGTAAAGCCTCTCAGGACTCCGGAAATCATTTAGTCCAGGTGCCCCCAATGTTACAAAACAAAAACGGGGCAGCTAGGTGGTGCAGTGGATAAAGTAGGAGTCAGGAGTACCGGAGTTCAAATCTGGCGTGAGATCAAACACTTGACACTTACCCGCTGTGTGACCCTCGGCAAGTCACTTAACCCCAAATAACCAAAAAAAAAAAAAACAAAAGAAAACCAAAAAACAACAAAAAAAACCCAAACCAAAAAAATGACCTGAGGCTCTGAGAAATTTAAAGAACTCTGGGGGGTTACCCATGTCATGGAATCAGATTCAAGGTTCAGACAGACCTTGGGGCACCCTGGTCAGACACTTATTTTATAAACAAGGAAAGTGAAGCCCAGAGTAGAAGTGACTTGCCTAGGGGGGTCACATAGGGTCTGAAGCAGCTTCACCGAATTTTGAATCCAGGTTCTGGAGTCCTCCATCCATGGTGCGCAGACTCTTCTGAGGCAGCAGGTCACAGTACCCCTATCATCAGAGCCCTTGACCCTTCCCTCCCCCTTGGGCCCTTTCCCTCCCTCCTCTTCCCACACACCTGCCCAGGCCCCTTGCTTCCTGAGAGAAATGCCAAGGCCCAGGCCAACCTGGGGTAGCCCATAGACCAGCAAGGCATGGCCCAGCCACCAGGCTACCCGCAGAAGCCACCAGGTTGCAGCCACAGTGCCTAGCATTTGGAAGGGTGAGCCACCTAGTTCCATCCACGACCCCATCCCAGACAAGACAACCTGGAGGCTCTGCAGGACAGCCTTGGTGAGGGGCAAGCTCAGCTCTACAGAATCCTGAGAATGAAAGGCCACTAGATCACCCAGGTCCTAAGGTCTGAGGGGGGAGGAGTCACCTGGCACTGAAGGACTGGTGGAAGGCCCACTTGGAATGGTAGGGGGCGGGCCGGCCAGCGTAGGACCCGTGGTACAGGGACACTGGCTTGCTGGAAGAAGCCATAGCGCTACCTGGTGGCCAGTACTGGCTGTGCAGGGTAGGTGAGGAGAACGCCCAAGGGCAGAGACGATTTTTGGGACCTTAGCCTGTGCCCCCTCCTCCCACTGTATCCCCTCCATCCCGAGGACACACGACCATCTCTTTCCAAAGATACTTTAGGGGCAGCTAGGTGGCGAAGTGGATAGAGCACCGGCCCTAAATTCAGGAGGACCTGAGTTCAAATCTGGGCTCAGACGCGTAACACTTACTTAGCTGTGTGACACTAGGCAAGTCAGTTAACCCCACTGCCTAAACAAAAAAAAAAAAATCCAAAGACACTTTATTGAAACCTGGTGAGGGTACAGAGGGTGAGGCAGCTCCCATCCCCCAGGCCCTTTCCATCCGCCAACCCAGTGGAGGGCCCCTGAACCCTGGATAAAGGAGCACTGAGACGGCCTCTACCAACCCTCCCCAGAGAAGCCAGCAAGGGACACTAGACCTTGGGACCACAGTGGGGGTGGGACACAGGTGAGGAGGGCTGCTCCTCCACCATGCCCAGGGGCTGGCTCAGCAGGAGATTGGATGTCAGGCAGCAGTGGGCAGCTGGCTACAATGTCCAGGCACTCGGTAAGGGCACGGAGGTTGCTACGGGCCAGGCGGATGCTGTGGGCAGCCGCCAAGCCCACCTCCTGCGCGGCGGCTAGACGGGCTGCCAGGCCGGCCACATTGAGGCCAGCTCGCCTGTACATACCATGCACCACGGCGCTCACATCGTGGCCCAGGCGAGCCTAGCTCTCAGCCAGCCTGTGTTGCAGCAGTGAGGCCTGGCGCGAGGCAGGGAGCGTAGCCGCTGCGGGAGCCTCGCTGCTGCGGGAGCCTCCTTTTCTGCCCACTGTGGGCCCCGAACCACCACGAGTGGAAGCAGATCCTCGTGGGCCACCAGGGTCGCGGGCTCCTCCTCAGAGTCAGTCTCAGGTGCTTCCCCAGCTACGCGCAGCCCAGTGGGGCGGCCCCAGTACTCAGCACCGAACCCAGGTACAACTCCTCTTCTGACGAAGATGCCGCTTAGTCCATTTTGATCACCTCCCCAGGAAACACAGTTTCGGGTCACCGACCTCGCAATACTCCGATGGCCTGAGAAGCCATGGCTTCTCAGGCCCAGGAGCTGTTGGGGGAGAGGTGGCAGGGCGCTTTATTCTGGCGACCAAAGCGGGGGCCATCGAGTGACAGGAGGAGAGAGTGACCCATCGGGAGAAAGAAGGGAAGCAGATAGGGCAGGGACCCCACTAGCGCAGAGACCAGGGCTGCGCTGAATGGAGCGTGGGATAGTCTCTAGCGGGGAGAGGTGGAAGGCACTCCCGCAAGCACAAGGGCATTATGCGAAGGCGGAAGTTGTAAGATTGGAAAATGCTCCCTGAAGGCTTGTGGGGATCCCTCCTGGGAGGGGTGCCAGGAGAGCCAGGAACCAAAAGTGGAAAGGAGTTCGAGGGAGGGTGACAAGACACTGAGGGGCAGTAAGGCACTATGGAAGGGGACTTAGAACTTCTAGGAGCTTTGGGAGTTTGGGTGGGGGTGGACGAATTATTCCAAAAAGTAACCATGAGAGAGACGGCATAGTGGGGAGCAGGGAAGGGACTGCATCATTCTGAGAGGAGGGGATTCCATAAGGGGGCCCTTAACGGAAGCAAATTGCTACATAACAGGGACCATAAGAATGGTGCGGGAGGTGTGGAAGAGAGGGAAGGAGGAAAATTTCGGGGGATGGGGTGAGCGGTGGAAAAAGGGAGTGTCATGGGGGAGGGAGAGGGAGAGAATCAGAGATGGGGGTGGTTTTGGGGAAGGTTGGTCAGAAGAAGAGGAGAATCAAAGAATGTTGATAATAAAAAGGAGGAGAACCAGGCAGAGGGGAACGCCGTGGGGGTAGGGGAGGAGGAAAATCGAGATGAGTGGTTGTGGGGAGGGAAGAATCGGGGAGGGGGCGTCACAGGAGGGGATAATCGGGGCGGGGGCGTCATGCAAGCGGAGAATCAGGTATGGGGAGTCAATAAGGGAGGAGAATCAGGAAGGGGGCATCACCAGAGGGGGAGACTCCAGGGCTGTGTATGGGGGAGTGGGAGTCATAGGGGGAAGGGCGGAATTACGGAGGGAAGTGGTTGTGGGGGCGCCCTTTCTCCCTCCCCGCCCCCAAGGAGTGCCAGAGACAGGGAATGGAGGGCTCGTAAGGGTCCCGGGTAGGATCCCGTCCATACCCGCGAGAGGAAGGTACAGGGTCTGGAGCTCCAGAGCGTGCCTTTTCTCCACTTGTAGCCTTCCTGGATTTGGAAAGGAGGGGCAGTCACGTGGGGCTTGGTCTTTTCGTGCTCTGCCAATGAGCAAGGACGGAGCGGCCCTTAGATCACGTGACATCACAGCCGCTTCAGTCAATGACTGCGAATGGTTGGTGAAAAAGGAATTGACCAATGGAGGTGCATCGAGGAGCTGTCTAGCCACGCCCACCCCGACCACATCCTGATATGGAGGTGACATAAAAAGCGTCTCGGCCTATGAGCATTAGGCCAGGAGGGAGGAAGCGGAGGCAGCCATTCACATGGAAATCGCCCTGTGCCAATAGAAGTGTCGGAAGGGCCGTAGATTAAAGAGAGAAGCGGTAATCACGTGGCCCGATATTGAGCCAATAGAAGTGCTGGACGGGGCGCAGGTGGGCGGGGCCTGAGGAACAGAAGGGTTCGGGGGTGGGGCGCTCAGTGACAGCTGAAGGAGGAAGCGCCGGCAATGGCGGACGAGACTCTGTTCCAGCTGCTTCACACGGAGGTGGTGGCGGCCGCGTATGGCGGGGGCCGGGGCTCGGGAGACGAGGTGAAGCCAGGAGGCCTTCCCTGTGTCTTCTCTGCCTTCTGTCCCCTCCCTTACAGACTCCCCGTCTCCCCTCCCCCTCCCTCTAGTTTCCTCCTCCTCTCTCCCTCCCCCCGATTTTCCCTTCTCTCCCTTGCCCCTCCCCTTCTCCCTCCTCTTGTCCTGCTTCCCTACCTCCTCCCCCTCCATGTCCTCCACCCTCCTCCCTGTTCCTCCCCCTTCACCTTTCCCAGCACACGCCTGTTCTCTGTCTTCTTCCATCCATGAGGACCCCTGAACACCTGCTGTTAGGGATGCGTAGAGGAACACACCCCGCGCTCCTGGGGCTTGCATTTTCTTGGGAGACGGCATGCAGAGAGGTGGCCGCCAGGCGGCGCCATAGTGCACAGAGCGCCAGGCCCAGAGTCAGGGAGACCAGAGTTCTGACACTCACTAGCTGTGTGGCCCTGGGCAAGTCACTTCGCCCTGTTTGCCTCCGTTTCCTCATCTGTCAAATGAGGTGGAGAAGGAAACGGAAATGACACCAGTATCTCTGCCGAGAAAACCCTAAATGGGGTCATGAAGAGCTGGACAGGACCAAACAACAAATGCGTATATAGCATAGTGTATGTATGTGAATGTGTGTGTGTCTGTGTGTGTGTGAGTGTATATGTGTGTGTGAGTGGGTGTGTGTGTGATTGTGTGTGTACACAATTATCCCTCCACATTGCCACTTTCCCCATCGTGATTCCAATATATCACAGGTCAGCATAAGAAATTATGCAGGAAATTTTGTGGAAGCCAAAGATGACACAGAAAATGTTTAGAAACTCAGAAATGCATAAAATCTATGTATGGTGTTGTATGATAGCACCATGTTTTTAATCTTTTAATACCATAATAATTCAGACTTCTTCTCGGGTACAAAGGGAGAGCCACAACATTTTTCAGATTTTCCCAGGCAGTGGGGTGCTGTGCTCCTGACCCCACATTGTGGAGGGAATGGCTCGCGTGTGTGTTTAAGCAGCTCAGGGACTTTGTTATTGTGGGGAAGCTCCCACCAGGGCAGGTCAGCAGCTGTCCTGCCACCCGCCGTAGTCTCAGCGAGTCACTTGGAGCACTGAGGAGCCCAGGGTCACCCAGACACCTTGTGTCCCAGGTATGAACCGAGGTCTTGCTCTGAGGCTGGCTCTATCTCCACTAAGCCACGCTGCCTCTCATATAAAACACAGAGGAATTCAGAGTAATTTGGGGGGGGGGACAGGTAGAGGCACTCACTAGCAGCTGGGGGGATCAGGAATACTCCTTCACAGATAAATATAAACCAGGCATTTACAAAATAAAGGCACATTGATTTGGAAGAGAGGGGCATTACCGTCTGGGCAATATGAGGACAAGTCCTAGAAGGTGGCATTTGAGCTTAGGGAATTAGGGGTTCCAAGAGGATGAAGTGGAAAGAGTGACTTCAAGGCTTTGAGGAGACAGCCTGTATGCATGCAGAGGCAGGAGGTAGACTGTCTGTGCACATCAGCGAGCAGGCATCAGCTGAAGCACAGAGCCCATGAAGGGAAGCCTGGAAGAAGGTGGGAGCCAGCCTGTGAAGGGCTTTCTATGCCGAAGGGGAGTTTCCGTTCCATTCTCGGCCGCTGGGGGAGTCTGTGTGATTAAGGAAGAAAAATGTGGTTCGAATTCGCTCCTACAATAAGACACACTCCTGGAGAGAGAAGTGAAGGTGGCTTCAATTAAGATTATAATACAAGTAGAGAAAAACTAGATTGACAGCAACATACAATTAGCAATATGACTACAGTCAGGCTAAGAGTACAAAGGATAGCAATAATATGAGAAAACATCCCCAGTTCAGGGAAGCACCGACACGTGAAGTCCAAGCTGGGGATTCCCGGGGCGCAGCTTTCAGGGTCCCGATTGGGAAAGTCCCAGGCAGAGCGTACTCTCCGTGGCTGATAATCCAAAAATGGCTTTCCCAAGTAGGATTTAAATAGGGTCTCTAACAAAGAAGGCCCCGTGCCAGAAGTGTCCATGAATCTAATAGATGTTTTTACTTGGTCCAGGACCTGGCCAAATTCCTGGAGCAAGCAAAACATCTTGGAATATTAACTTGATATGTTCTGGTGAACCGGCCAGGTTCCCAGAGCACATCTTTTCCTGAGAACTGGCCAAATTCTCAGGTCAACATAAATAACCACACTCTGGCTTGTAGCCCAATGTTTAAAGTCATACCAGGGACATGGAAGATCTCTCCTGATAAGATTTATCAATCAGAGTTCCACTGAAGCTTTCTGAGCAGAATCGTTACTTGGTCAGTTTTGTGCTTGGATTTCCCGTTTTATGGCAGTGTGGAGGATGAGGGATAGAAAGAAAAGACTGGATACAGAGAGACCAATTACAAGAGTCCAGACGGGGTGATAAGGAGCTGGACCACAGTGGTTGGAGCTGGGCAGAGACACTGAGGTGGAATTCGAGGCTTAGCTGCTTGGCCATAGAGGGGAGTGAGGAGAGATTGGGAAGCCAAGATTAACTCCCAGCTTGTGAATTTGGCAAAGATGGTGCCCGTGCCAGAAGGGAGGAAGTTAGGAGAAAGTGGCCAGAAGACATGAGTTTGATTTGGGCTGTTTGGAGTTTGAGATGGCTGTCGGTGGTGATGTCCGGTGGGCAGCTGGGCAGGTAGGACTTGATGAAGATAGAAGGGCAATGCCTGTGGAATTGGGAGGGAGGGAAGGAGGGTGGAGACCCTGCTGAGCAGTGAGAGGAGCCAGGACTGTGTCAAGAAGGTGGCCCACACCAGGGATGAGGGAGTGCCCAGGGGAGATCACTGGAGTTGTAGGAGAGAGATCTCAGGCAGCCTGGCAGCAAGCCATTCATTTTCATGAAGGAATTGGAAGCCAGACTGCGAGGAATTGAGAGGTGCTAGGACCTTCTCCACCAAGTGACTGTGTGTCTATTCAGTATATGTTTATACATATGCCCCTGTTGTCACCCCTGATTAGACTGGGAGCTTCCTCAGGGCAGGCCCCCACCCCCACCTGCCCAGTGCCTGGCACATAGTAGGCCCTTACTGAATGCTTGCAGATGAGACTGTAGAGAGCCAGATGCAGGTAAGATGCTGTTTGTAGGGTTTGGCTATGGAGGGGAAGATAACCATAGCATGGTGGGGGCTTCAGGAGCCAGTGGGGCTGAGGTAAGGTGATTGAGGATGGGGGACATGTAGTCTGTTTGTAGGCAGCAGGCAATGAGCCAGGAGAAGTTGAGAATGAGGAGTGGGGGGTGGTTGATAGACCTGTGGGAGGAGACCAATGGGGATGGGCGCCAGGGCAGCCGAGGAAGGCCCACCTCGTCCTCTGTGTGTGAAGTGAAGGTTGGCGGATGATCCGGAGGACACCCAAAGAGGGGACAGAGCTTGGGAGGGGTGCCTGGGTGGCCTTGGGCTTTCCAGGGAAGTGTGAGGAGAAGGGGAGGCAGGGCAACAATAAGGGACCGGAGAGGGGAAGAAGCTGTGGAACAGACACTCTGGGGGGCACATGTGAGCAGGGCAGAACCTGAGGACTAGCAGGGGGTGGCTCATGCCAGCAGCCGGCATGATGTGCCACAGAGTGGTGAAGAAGAAGGGGAAAGGGAACTGGAGGACGAAAAGTCGGGCTAGATGAGTGTGAGACTGATGCTCATATGACTAGTTTATTTTCAGGTGTTACAAGATTACATACTATAGAAAACAGCTTTGTACCGTGAGAAATAATCTACAAGCTCTAATTAATAACACAATCTAAGCAGCTAAAGATCCTCATTTTCTCATGAGAAAGTAGTTTCAATGCCAAATTTCGTATCTGTTGTTTCCCTGCCCAGTTCTTAGTATTGTCTACCTGAGTCAGCCAGCTGGCCTCAAGGCTGGGCATCAGTGAGAACTTAAAATCAACAAACCATAACAAATGGAGCTAGGGCAAGAGTCATGGGAGCAAGCCTCTATTCGTACTGACCCCTAAAGTCTATAAGGACTTAGAGATTTTCCATAAGGACTCGGGCTCCCACATCTCCCCCCTTTTTATTTGTTAATTTAAGTTCGTGCAATTGACTCATTATTGGTTTGATGGTAGGATTTATGAATCTTAAAAATAATGGGAAACAAAAACAAATTAGGCCAATACCAAAAGGAAGCGTATGCAAAAGCAAGGATATGCTCGAAAAGCGTGAAAGCTGGTGTTATGTAGACAAAATAGCATGTGCTAATTTATTTGGGTCAATCCCAGAATGGGGGCTATTTTCAATGTTGGAAGTGATATCATGAAGGGTATTAATATTGAGGGTAATATTAGAATCGTGCCAGACTCCCAATAAGCGAGCACGTATCTTAACCCATGAGATATTGGGATCTGAAGCATTATAGGGTAGTGGAGTAACACAAATATATGAGTATCTGTAATCACATCGCAAAAGCAACCTTGTTTTCAAGGTTTCTAACTCATCTCCTAAATACAATACTGATCGCTCTAATAAATTGACTTTATACAATACATCTCTATCAATAGCTTCTTGTGCTTTAAGTACTAAACATATTTTTTGCTAAGTCACTTACAAATTATGCAGTTTAAATTTCAGATTGTAGTGCAATAGATGAAACAGTAGTAGATAAAATAAGAGAAGCAACAATGATTAAACCAGTTATAAGGAGACCAATAAATTGTTTTGATTGATTTAAGGAGGAAGTAATAATCTGAGGAGCATGTTGACCAGAGTTCTGGAACTATTCATGTGAGATGTTAGTCGGAAAAATGGCAAATGATGATTGTTCTACCAAAAGTACAGTATAGTCATTATTATCAATACATTGTTTGAGAGTGCAATCGACACAAGTAGCATTCTATTCAAAAGTAGTATTAGATTGAGTAAAATTTACACATTCATTAGACAAACTGGTATTAAAAAATGATGTAACAAGAAAAAGACAGGGTTCAGTATTGTTGCTAACTTTTGTAAAACATACAGGTGTCCTAAATGCTAGAGAGCTGAGGGTAATTGTAACATTGGCACTGTCCTGGAGGAAGGGGTATTCTTGGCCTCTGAATATATAAGTATTATTAGTATATATAGTTCCCAATTTGTCCATGTATGTGAGGGGTCACAACCAGGGCAAAAAAGGAAAATAAGTCCAGCGCTGAGCACTCTGTACATTACACACTTGAGCAGAAAGTAAAGCTACTATTGCTAAAAATACAAGGTCAGGAGTCTTCCATGGCTGGATGAGAGGGAGCTTTCACTTGACCCCATGTGGGAAGGCGACTCATCACTGTAGATCTGCTCTTTCTGTGCTTTCCCAGAATCCTCATACTCTGCATTGAAGCTGTGAGTGTGATACACGCTCGGATATTTTCCTTTGGTATCCAGACAGGTTTATCAAAGTTTTCTGAAAAAATACAAGCATACCCTCGTCCCCACATTAATAATGGATTCAGGCCTCTGGGTGTTTATTTTTCTCAAGGTGTTTTTCGGCTGGAGTGTAGCTATCTTTGTTAATATTTAAAAAATTAATAGCCAATTGTCGATGAGGGGTAATAGCCCAGATACCCCCTTTTTTGTTAAAGAAGAATAGTTTTAATATCTTTGTTTTTAATTATATAGAATGCTTGTGATCAGAGAAATGTTATAAAAAGCATAAAAAGAAGAAAATGCTTTGCTATCGTAAGCAGGAGCATTATCTGTTTGAATTTGTTTAGGTACACCCATAACTGAGAAGGCTTGTAGAATATGATTGATTACATGTTTAATTATTCCACTTGTTTGTAAAGTGGAAAAAATGAAAGAAGAAAAAATATCAATTATAACATGAATATAAGAAAGCTTTTCAGAAGAAGGCATATGAGTTACATCTATTTCTCAAATATGTTTGGGAGAAAAGCCTCTGGGATTAATGGCAAAAGAAGGAGGGTTAATAAAAGTGATACATTTGAAACAGCCTTTAAAAAAATAATCATTTTTATACTATGTTTCTAATACTGCAGGAGTTTATTTATTCAAAAATAGTCACAAAATGTTATCCTGTCTACAATTAAGGTTGTTATATTGGCAGAATGTAGTTAATAAAAGGCCTAATAAAAGCTTAATAAAAAGTTAAGTGGCAGCATTTTGGCGAAACTAGAAATGAGAATTAATAGCTTGTTGTATGGTAGGAGTTAAAAGTGTTAGATAGAATTGTAGTTGAGAATCAATAATGGTATTACTTTCAGTAAGAGGTCCCGACAAATTAAAATGTGCTCATATGTGGGTAATATAGATAAGGTAATAACGTGAACGAAGTAAGATTTGAAGTTGTTGAAAAAGAGTATATAATTGTGTATTAGTAATATATTTTAACTTTGCAGTCTCTATATTTTGAGAGACACAGACAGAGTATTTGCTATCAGAAGCAACATTAATAGGCTCAGTAAAATCCTGAAGTAATAATATAAGAGCTGCTAATTTAGCCTTTTGTGCAGAAGAGTAAAGTGTGTGAATATAATTTCTTTGAGTTGGTGAGATATAATATCCTGCCATACCTGTGCTTGACCCATCAGTGAACGCAGTGGGTGCTGAAGGAATGGGATTAGATCTAAAAATCTTTGGAAATACCCATGAATAATTCGTAAAAAAGGTTAATATCTTGAGAGATGGTAAGTGATTATCAATACGGCCAGAAAAAATTGTAATAGCAATTTGCCAGTCCTCTGAAGAGGAAACAAGAGTGTCTATTTGTTTTTTATTATAAGGTTGATGAATAACAGAAAGTAAATTTCCTTTTATGAAATTTTACCTACCATTGTAGGATAAGGAATTACAGAATTGGGGAATTGATGAGGGAGGTGAATCCATTCTAAGGCTCCAGAAGATTGAAATAAAACTCCTGTAGAGGACACTGGAGTACTAAGAATAGCACCTTGTACCTCTTCATTTAATGAAATATGGGTGAGCTGAGTTTCAGAAATTTTCTGGTAGACTAAGTGAAGTTCCTTTTTTTGCCTCAGGAGTTAATGTCCTAGGGGAATTTAGATCAGGATCTCCTCTAAGTGTAAAAAAGAGATTAGCCAATTGTTCTGTAGTAATTTGGAGTGCTGGTCGAAGCCAATTAATATCCCTTAAGAGTTTTTGAAAATCATTAAGTGTTTTTAAAGAATTAAGGTGTAAGTTTACTTTTTGTGGCTTCACGGTTGTTTCAGTGACAATATGACCTAAGTAGGAAAATGGAGATTTTCCTTGAACTTTTTCTGGGGCTGTAATAAGCCCATATTCCTGTAAGGCTAATTGAAGCTGAGGTAATAAATGTGTGAGTTCATTTACAAAGTATGTCATCTATATAGTGTATTATTTTTGCATTGGGAAATTTTTTCCTAATTGGTTGTATAGTTTTATTAACAAAATTTTGACACATTGTAGGGCTGCTTTTCATGCCTTGAGGAAGGACTTTCCATTGAAACCTGGTTGCAGGTTGTTCTGCATTAACACTGGGTATAGTAAAAGCAAAGCAACATTTGTCAGCTTGTTGTAATGGAATAGTAAAAAAGCAATCTTTTAAATCAATAACTATCAAAAGCCAGGAAACAGGAATCGTAGTGGGTGAGGGGAGACCGGAGTGAAGGGGACCCATAGTCACCATAGTGTCATTAATAGCTCGGAGGTCATGAAGCATCCTCCATTTCCCTGACTTCTTTGTAATAACAAAAACAGGTGAATTCCAAGGACTTGTAGAAGGTTCTATATGTCCTTCTAAAAGTTATTGTTCGACTAATTGTTTTAATGCAAAAAGCTTCTCTTTCTTCAGAAGCCACTGTTCCACCCAAACAGGTTTAACAGATTTTCATTGTATTTTATCAGCTTTATGAATAGGAGAAGCACAAACAGTGGCCACCACTGTAAATTGGGGGGGGGGAGAAAATAACAGCTCCCATTTGATGTAAACTATCACGCCCCCACAAATTAAAGGGAATTAATTGGGTTTCAGCTATCTTTTATTCTACTAGTTTAAATTCATCTTTTGTTTGAAGTGTAAACATTCTTAGTGAGGTATCTGAGGGTGGCAAAAAGATTAAATAATTGATTAGTGGTGATCTGTGAGGCTAATTAATATCTTTAAGAAATTTTTTTTGAAAATTATTAAGAATTTTTAAAGAATCTTGCCCAATTTATAATATTTTGGGGGTCTAATTGTAGACTGTGAAACAATATGTCTAAAGTAACCAAAGGGTGATTTCTTTTGTACCTTTTCAGGGGGAATTATAAATCTATGAGATTGAAGGGCTTGTTAAAGCTTAGGCATTAATAAGGAGAGTTCGCTAGTAGTAGAACAACTGCAATGTATATCATCCATATAATGAATGATTTTTGTCTGGAAATGTCTCTGCCTAACAGGTTTGATAGTGTTATGAACAAAATTTTGGCTCATGGTGGGAAATATTCCTTCTTAAAGGAACACAATAGGGAAACTTCAAATACTGATTTAATGGAGACAACTATACTCAAATTCAAACTCAAAAAAAAATTGGTTATAGTCCTAAGAGTCTTTTACCTCAAACAGCAAGTTTCACTAATCACAGCTTAAAGCCAGATACAGTTAATTTTATTCTCATGGAGTTGTAATAAGTAATAAAGATTTAGTAGGACTCACATATATAAGAGATTTCAATTAACATCCTTTTTTCCTCAAATTTAAACTTGTTCTTGAATGGGATGTCCCAGTGAAGACTTCTCAGCGTAATTAAGGTAATGGGTTCAGAAGGTAGGATAGGGTTAAATAGACTACTGTAAGATCTTCTTTTTAGTGCCAGATACTAGCAGTAAGCTCTGGCCTGCCCTTTGATCTTATCTTGATGTGCCTTTTGTCCCAGGTCCCTGAAAAACCCCTAAAGGCTCAAGCCCCCTTATCTCTCTTTGACAGGGTTTTATTCAGATGTCTTTCTGTTCCCAACATTATCTATTCAATCCCTGAGACCTCCCCAAAACAATTGTAAACTGCATATTTTTGATTGCTTCTTTGACATTATCTCAACGAACTAAGAAATATAGAGATATATACTATGTCTGGCATGTGAGATTGTGAGCCAAGTTAACGGACAGCTGTAGGGGAGGAGGAATTTTTTTATTATTTAAGCCAGCTTATGTGTCTGTGTCCCTTGTCTCCCATTCATTAGAGCTTGCTGATGGAGGGACACCCAAATCTCGAGATTTGAAATAATAATAATAATAATAGCTATAATAAATTAACTTTCTGTTTCTCCTTGTACACCTCTGTGTTTTATTTTTAATTTGAGTGGCATTCCACACATTCTGGTGCAAAAGCCAATTATTAGAAATCATTTCTATCTATTGTACATAAAGTTGTAACTTCTCAGTAAGCCAAATTAATTGCTTAGGAGCTCCATAACACAAACAAGTTCTTTTCTCAGGGCATATGACCTTGCCCACACAGATGGTTTCTTGGGACCTTGGCAAGTTTACAAAGTAAAGGGAATTGCCTTGTGCTCCTCCTTTTCACTCATAAATAATTAAAAATTCTAGGTTTTAACATTAAAACAGTAACTTCAAATAACTTAATAATCTGGTAGTTTTCATAAGTGATAGTCAAATTGTTTTAACTATAAGCTGTTCTTTAATTATAGTTACTGATGGAAATACCTGATTTTCTAATTGACAGTTATAAAACATTATAAGACAAGATTAGCAGGGCTTGATAAAATAATTTAAATGGTTTTACACAATTTTCCCACTGTCCTTCAGTTTCTTTTAGTTCACATTTTAATAACATCCAAATTATGAAAAACTGATTGACATAACTGATACAAAAGTTTACCAGTTGGAAACAATACTAGATTTTTAAAACTTGAAACACACACATTACCAATTAGAATGAACTAAATTATCTTTTGATTGTGTTCCAATACATAAAAAACTTTTCTTTTTGATCTAAGGGGAAAAAATTCACCCTCCTTTCCTCTTTCTCGTCCTCTCTCCCACACCCCAGCCCCAGCTGAGGTGGGGGCCACAACCCAGCCAAAGCTGAATGCGGAAGACGGGAAGAGAAAATTTTCCAACAACTTTTTCTTTTCTTATCTTTCCATCTACACTCAAAAACTTGGCCAGAGTCCAGAATGTAAAAAGAAAGATAATTTTTTCCTAACATTTCTCCAAAAAGTTTCCAAATCTTTTACTCTCAAACCCTCTGTTCACACTGTTCATACAAACAGATTATGCTTTTCTTTCTACCCATACTTCTCTCATTCCTGCATGTTTAAACTTTCTTGTCTTTTACCAATCAGATAACCTAAATAATGAAGTATTTTTCTTTCTTCCTCCCTCCCATCCACCTGCTCCTAAGAGGCGGCTGGTATTAGGGAGGGAGAAGGGGAGAAAGAAAGCAGCGTTCCCCTGGCATGCTATTCTTGCCACCTGATTGCAAAGGTTATCAGATTACACGCAAGGACACTTCACTCATACCACACAGACGAACACAAAACAAATATAGAAAAAATATGACAGGGAAAATCCAAAAGCTCATAGGGGTTTGTTAGCAATTCCTTGCACAAATCAAATAATATTCATTTTAATTTTAATTTTTTCTTTTCATGGTTTTCCAGATGTTATGGAAACCAAGCAAAATTTTCCTTAAGGTCTTGGAGAATGAGTTTTCTCCAGGGAGAATACATTTTAACCAAATGAGAGGAAAGAAAGCTTGAAGGTGTTGCTCTCTATTTTTAAACTGAAACTGACCCATTTTAAAGGACAGCAGAGAAATCCCCAAATAAGCCTAGTGTTGTGTTTCTTTCAACACGACTAAATCCCCTTACCTCTTCCCATCATTGTAATGGAGCTCTGAGTCAGTAACGTGCTGCTGTGTCTCTCTTAACCACCTTCTATTCCCCCAGGGTCTAAAACTTTCCCATGCAAGGATCTCGAGTCCCTGTACAGGTGCCAACTGCCAGAAGCCGGCGTGGTGTTCAACAGAGTGGTGAAGAAAAAGGGGAAAGGGAACTGGAGAAAGAAAAGTCGGGCTAGGTGAGTCTGAGACTGATGCTCATAAGACTAGTTTGTTTTCAGGTGTTACAAGATTATATACTATAGAAAACAGCTTTGTACCATGAGAAATGATCTACATGTGCTAATTAATAACATAAACAATCTAAGCAGCTAAAGATCCTCATTTTGAGAAAGTAGTTTTAATGCCAAATTTCATATTTGTTGTTTCCCTGCCCAGTTCTTAGTATTGTCTACCCGAGTCAGCCCGCTGGCCTCAAGGCTGGGCATGAGGGAGAACTTAGAATCAACAAACCGTAACAAACAGAGCGAGGGCAAGAGTCATGGGAGCGTTTACCCCGAGGCAAGCCTCTATATGTACTGACCCCTAAAATCTATAAGTACTTAGAGATTTTCCATAAGGACTCGGGCTCCCACAGGCTCAGAAGGGTCTCTGTCCTCCTTCTGTCCTTCCCAACATCCCTATACTGGAGGCTGTGGGGCCTTGTGGAAGGAGGGCAGATCCTGTCCCACCATCTCAGTTTGAATCCTGCTGGGCCACAGCTGGGCAGCCTTGCGCCAGTCCCTGCACCTGGAAAAAGAGGAAGGTGAACCAGGTGAGCCTAAAGGCCCCTTAAGCCAGCTCTGGCTCCTCCTCTCTCTTCTTATGGCAGCTCCTTCAGAGAATGGAGGGGTTCATTCTCTGTGTGCACCCAGGTTTGATGCAGGGCCGGCACACATATGCGTGTGCACACACACACACACACACACACACACATATACATGCGCATGCACACATGTATACACGCAATGCACATAAACACACATGTGCATGTAAGAGATGCTGCTGATGGATGGCCGTCTTCACCCCACCTCTTCTGCTTCCACCCTGACCTCACCATTCTTCTCTTTCTCTTGGGCTCCTGCTTTCCCTACACATGTCCTCACGTCCTGTCCCTGATTCCCTTCCCCCCCCCCACTGCCCCTCCATTCCTCACCCCTTCCCCCCTTGGGCATTCCTTGCTAAGGGGCAGCCAGACATAGGCATGGATGAGCCAGACTGAGGAGGTGGTGGGCTGTGGGTCACTACGGGGCCGGGCCCCTCCACCCCATGTACTCCAGGCTTCTCTGGCTCCTCCACAGCCCTTGTCTCAGCGCTGACCTCAGCCGTATTTGTGGATTGGATTGGTTGCCTGGGGAGGGGTTCATGGAAGCAAGGAGCCTGGCTTCTCCCCCCTGGCTTCCTGGTAGAACATTGGGGGCCCTGGAGCAGAGCCTAAGGCTGGGGGTGGGGGTGGAGCAGGTCACCTGTCCTGGGAGGTGAGAGTCTTGGCAGCTTCTCAGGTACTTTCTTGTACCTGGAACATGTCTCTGCCTCTCCAGCTCCAGGGTTGGGATGCAGCTTTGAGAGCTTCCTTTTCCATTCATAATCCAAAATCACTCATCTGTAATTTCTCCTTTTTTGGGGGGGGGGAAGGGGAGGTGCCTAGAGTTGATGGCCCTGTCTGATCCCCCTTCTTCCCCCACCCTCCTCTCCTAGGGTCAGAGGACAGGCTTGACAGTCCTTGAGGGCATGGGCTGCCCTGTGGACCAGGGCCTGGCTGAGAGGTGAGAGCCAGGGCTCTGTTTTCCAGGGGACTTGGGAATAGGGGGTTCCCTGTCCCATGTGCTCAGGCCCTTCTGCAGGGGGAGGCCCCCCAGGTGATCATTGGGTCCCCCCAGGGTACCAGGAGCCAAAACTGGTGATGGTATTTGGTCTCCTTTCTCCTGCCCCCAGTCCCAGGCCTTCCTGGACCTTGGGTCACATCTTGCATCTTCCCATTAGATCCCTTCTCCCTGGCTCCCCGGGGCTGGGCCTGGATCCAGGCCTTCTTCACCCTAGAGTCAGAAGCTTGTGTTTTTCCCAGGCTGCCCCGAGGGGCCCTGGTCTTCAGAGAGGAGCTGGACACCATCAAGTTCCTGTGCAGGGACTACTGTGCTGTAAGAAATGATAAGCAGACTTCAGAAAAACCTGGAAACACTTGTATGGTCTGATGCAGAGTGAAGTGAGCAGAACCAGGAGAACGTACTACATAGTAACAGCCACGTTGTGCCATCGCTAACTTTGATAGACTTAGCCCTTCTCAGCAATGCAAGGATCTAAGACTTCTCCAAAGGCCTCCTGATGGAAAATGCTATCCACATCCAAAGAAAGATCTATGGAGTTTGAATGCAGATTGCAGCTCACTATTTGCTATTTTTTTTCTTTTGTTGCATTTTGTTTCCTCCTTCTGGTGGTTCCTCTTATTGATTCTAATTCTTCCTTACAACATGACTAATGTGACAATGTGTTTAATAGGAATGTATATGTAAACCTATATTAGATTGAGCATTGTCTTGGAGAGGGGGGAGAGAAGGGGAGAAAAATTTAAAACTCAAAAGCTTCTGGAAGTGATTGTTGATAAAATAAATTAATAAAAAAAGAAAAGACCGTGGCTCGCAGTCACAAGTCATAGCTTCAGATGGAGACCTTGGGCAAGTCCCTTCCATTCTGAGGCAGAGCATTAGAGAGAGCACTGGGACTGGAGTCAGGAAGACCTGAGTTCAAATGCAGCCTCTAGCACTTTGGACAAGGCACATAATCGCTGCCTTACTTTCCTCATCTGTAAAATGGGAATGAAAACAGCTTCTGCCTCCTGGGGTGGTTGGGAACATAGAGGAGATATTCATAAAGGGCTTAGCATAGTGCCTGGCACACAGTGGGGGCTTAATAAATACTCAGATCTTCCCTTTCCTTCCTTCTTTCTCACTTTCTCATTTGTAAAATCAGGATACTAATCCCTCCTCTGCCTCAGTCTCACAGGCTGGTTTGTTGTGTGCCAACATGAGATTGTGTATTCAGGGCTCCCCTGCCCTTCCCCCAGCATATGCCCAGCCACTGCTGCAGGACCAGGGGAGGGCCCCTGAGTGCCCTGGGAGACAGAGTCAGGGCCCCAGGACCCAGCTGTGTGAGAACCAGGCATGTGCCAGAGCCGGCTCCCAGGATTTCAGGGGGGCCATTGCTAATTTTCCACATGAGTGTCCACACCCTGGAAATCTGAAAATGCTCCATATCAGGCTTCATTTCCTGCTTTGCTGATTGCCTGGATTTAAGAAAGGGACAGAGAAAATGGGAATCATGCAGTTTAAACCTTAGAGGGGCTGGTGTGGATGGTTTCCCCCAGTGGAGAGACACTTAGCAGCACCCTCTGGTGAGACCATTAGGGCCCAATTGAAGAGGGAGAGATGTCGAGACTTTGAAGTGTGTTCAAAAAGCCTATTCCACCAGCCCTGGGAGGTAACTTGGGCCACACAGCGGCTCATGCCAAGAGGCCCGAGGCTTTTAGCCACCTGGTCAGTCTGTATTGGCAGCCAGGCAACAGATGGCGACCTGCCAGTGGACAGAGGCCAACTGGCCACAGGGAGGGAGGCCACGATCACATCCCACCAATCTTAGGACTGAATCCCAGGAGAGGAGACACCCCAGAAATAATAGGTCATTTGTTTAAGATTGCACAAGGCTCTGGTGTAAGGTGTGTGAGACACATATGTGTGAGATGTGTTTATAGGTGTGTGAGTTGTGTGTGCATAAGGTATGTGTGTAAGGTGTGTGAGAGACTTATGTGTGAAATGTGTATATATGTGTGTGAGGTGTGTGTGTAAGGTATGTGAGAGGTGTGTATATCTGTGTGTGAAAGGTGTATGTATATGCTGTGTGAGGTGTGTGTATATTAGTGTGAGATGTATTTGTGTGCGAGGTGTGTGTGTCTGTGGGTGTGAGAGGTGTGTACATGTGTATATGTGTATGTATGTATGAGTTGTGTGTGTGAGGTGTGTGTATATGTGTCTGTGTTAGGTGTATGTGTAAGATGTGTGAGAGGTGTGTGAGGTGTATGTATATGTATATGGGAGATGTGTGGTTCTAGGGAGGAGGAGAGGAGAGTTATCAGCACTCACTCCCACAGGGGAAAGAACAAGGGATTAGGATAGAGAAGGCTGGAGGAGGGAGGGGAGGCTCTTTCTATTTTTTCGAGTGCATAATTCCAGGATTAGCAAAGTAGATGATTCTAAGAGTCTATAAATCCAAAGATTCCTTGGAGCCAAGTTCTGTTAAGCACCTACTATGTGCCAGCCACTACACTAAGTGCATGGACTATCACGGTGGGAAGATACATCAGATGTGGAGTTTTATTCCCTCATTTTAGAGACGGGACAACTGAGGCTCAAGAGTGAGGAAAGGGACTTCTCCCTAGGTCACACAGCGAGCCAGTGGCAGAGCTGGGAGCCAGGGCTGCTCCGGAGTTAGGGTAGGTCCCATAGAAGTAATGGAGGCTGTGCCTTGCTCTGCCCAGCCTCCATCTCTCTTCCCTCTAAACTTCTTCTTGGGGTGGCTCCTCATGTAATAGGGAATGTATGATGATAAAATAAATGTGTTTCTATACAACCAGCAGTGGAGGCTGAGTCCTGTTTTGGGAGGTGGGGGTGGATGGCAAGTGGGGAGGCACCAAGCAAGCCCCTGAGGCAAGGTCAGGGCACCAAGCCCTCTCTCCCACATTGAGCTGGGCCAGAAGTAAGGGGTGTGAACCCCAAGGTGGCTAGGGTCCCCTAGCAGGAATCTCCCTGCAAAAGGGAGAAGGGGGGAAGCTAGGTGGCACAGTGGATAGAGCACTGGCCCTGAATTCAGAAGGACCTGAGTTCAAATCTGGCCTCAGATACATAACACTTACTAGCTGTGTGACCTGGGCAAGTCACTTAACCCCATTGCCTAGCCAAAAAAACAAAAAAAAAACAAAAGGGAGAAGGCTTGGCCTTCCCTTCCAAGGACTCCCAGTCTGAGCAGGAAACATGGCCTTATGCCTTACCACTGGCTGCTTTAGGCCCCCCTCCATAGGACTCTCCTTTCTGAAGGAACCTCATTTACATCCTATACCAGAAGAAGGGAACAGTCTGGGGAAGAGGAAATGAAGGGGTTCCCCTCTTACTCCTCTCCCTCCCTCAAAGGATTCAGATATCTAGGAGTTTATAGGATAAGATTTAGAGCTGAAAGGGATCTCAGAGGCCAGATAGTCAACTCCCTTTTACAGATAAAGAAAACCAGTCCCCAGGAGGGTAGGTCCAAGGTCACAAAGTTAATGAGTGTTAGAAGCAGGAGGTGAGCTCAGTGCTCTTAAAAGGGGCAGCTGGTCTCAGCTGAGCTCCTCACACACCCTGCCACACCTGAGCTGCCACACTGGCTGCTTCCAAGAAGTTTTCGAAGCCAATCCCCACCAGCCTGGGAGTTTCAGTAAGTCCTACAGCTGATGCAGGGAAGGCATGGCCTTCTCCAATCTTTTCTTCCCAATGTCTAGCCTTAGGTAAGTGGGTAAGCTACCTTGGCCCCAGAGCTAGGAGTGGGAAGTTGGGCCCTGCCCCTCCTTTGCCTCACTATGAGACACTGGCCTAGGTCCCACTCCTTCCCTTGGTCTCAGTTTCTCCATCTGTCTAGAGGATTTGGCCCAGGCGACCTTTGCGATCCCTTCCTGCCCTGACACTCTGGGATTTGGTGACTCCCTGCTGGATCCCCAGAGGCCCTGGGGAGAGACAGGAATATGATTTGTTTCCTTGTTTTTCTTCCTCAAGGGGAGGGGAAGGCGAGATAGCTAAAGGCAGCCCAGGGTGAGGGCTGAATTCTGCCCTCTGGAAGCCACCCTTCCTTGCTTCCAGCTAGAGGTATTTGGAGGGGGTTGGGGGGAGGGAGCTGTGGTGGTGGGGGAAGTGCTACGGGGAGGGATACAGGGGGAGGGGGTGGTTACATGCATGGGGGAATGGGCTGGGGGGCTAAGGGGGTGGAGGCTTTGGTGCTGGGGAAGTGCAACAGAGAGGGGACTGGGGGGAGATATGGAGGAGGAGACTTTGGTGGGGGTGGAAGTTCTGGGAAGAGGCTGGGGGAGAGGGACATGGGGGAGGGGTCTGTGGGGGGGGGAAGTGCTGGGAAGAGGGAGTTGGGGGAGGGATAAAGGGGGAGGGTGCTGTGATATGCATGGGGGAGCAGGGAGCAGAGGGCTCTCTGTTTGTTCTAAGGGAGAGAGCCTTGAGACCTTTCCTGCCTCTGCCCCTCCCCGGGTGGGTTTGCTGAGTAGCTTTGGCCAAATGCATTCCCCTCTCTGAGCCTTCGCTTCCATGGTATTGGAAACATGAGAGAGTGGCACAGATGGAGTACAAGGGCCCGGCTTGAACCCAAGACCCAGAATGTCAGACCTAAGGGGAACTATAAGAGGACTGGTGGCAGGGGCTGGAAAGGAATTTGGGAGATTCATCAAAATCCGTCCCCTCCCACCTAATTTTACAAAAGGGAAAACAAGACTAGGAACAGGAAGTCACTTGCCCAGGGTTACAGAGCAAAAAAGGGATTGGGCTCAAGATGAGAACCAGAGGTCCCGGGGCCTGTAAATCATCACAGTGTATTAACTCCCCTCCACCCCAGCCTGGAGTCTGTGACAACTTCTAAGAGTGGGGAGCTGGGAGGGAAGAGGAGAAGAAGGAGGAGGAGGAGGAGGCCTCCTGCATCTCCCCCATCACCCCCTGCCCTTTCTACTCTCTGGGATCCCTTCAGTATCTGGAGGGCTGCCCATGGGCAACAGAGGCCAGGCTGCCTCTCCAGGGCCCCACTTAGCAGACCTCAGAGTGATGAGGGGTGGAGGTGGGGTTCAGACCCAGGAAGCACTACTGTGGGCTGGGGTTGCACCAGGATGGCGGTGAGTGTGCTTGGCCATGCAGCTATTGATAAGACAGATAGCTGGCTAAAGAGAAAACAATTTATTATAACAAGTTACAGCTACAGCTTCTCAGGGCTGGGGTTTCTCCTCAAAGGGAACCTGGAAAACAGGACAGAGAGATGAGCCAAGCAGAGGAAACCCCTCTCTTCCCACCAGCAGCACTCATCTCCCCTACCCCAACAAAGGGACTCCAATTCAGCCCACACCTCCTTCCCACAACTTCTTCAGGAACTTCTGGATGCACTGAGCAGAGAGTAGAAGAACATCAGAGTCGGGCTGATGAATTTAAAGTTGGAGTTCAGGGGCCACAGCAACAAGCCCTGAGGAAAGGAGGGAGCACAGTGGTCAGGAGGCAGCACAGTGGTCAGGAGGCAGCCTGGCCTCAGCCTGGTTCCCAGGCCCAGAGCACTGGGGCCTGGAGCATTGCCCCCTCAAGGCCTCCTCAGTCACCTCCAGGAGATACAGAGCCCAGCAAATGACTGCTGACTTAGGAACATGAGCCGTGGAGCAGAGTTGTATTTACCTTCATAAGCATTTCCCAATTACATTTTAAGCTGGTCTGGGGAGCATTTTGGTGTTTTTCAGTCCAGGAGTTTTGATATCTCTAGACTACATGATCTCTAAGGCCCTCCCAGCTCTGACATTTCCTGCTCTAAGGGCCCTCCCAGTTCTGACATTCCCTGTTCTAAGGGCCCTCCCAGCTCTGACATTCCATATTCAAAGTCCCTCCCAGCTCTTGCATTCTCTGTTCTAAGGTCCCTTATACTTCTGATATTCTCTATTCTCAGGTGTTCCTTCCACCTCTTATAGTCCAAGATTTTTCCACATGAGTGCTATATATTATACTGCCAGTCAGCCAGTAAGCATTTATTAAGATCTTACTATGTGCCAGGTATTGTGCTAAGTGCTGGAAACACAAATACAAGCAGAAACAAAGACAGTCCCTGCCCTCAAGAAGCTTTGCTTCTAATGGAGTGCTAAAAAGAAGCTAAAGAAGGGGAAGAGAAAAGGTAGGGGAAGTTCTATGCAGATGAGTGCAGTGCAGCCTGGACAGGGCTGAAAATAACTGCTGCCTGGGCCTTCCCCTTAAAATGGAAGTTCTAGAAGGAGCCAATCAATCAGAAGGCAAAGCCTTAGGGGGCAGAGAATGCTGAGGATGAGGCAGCTGGTAATGCAGTGGGTAGAGTGCTGGGCTTGGAGTTAGAAAGACTTCAATCTGGGGCAGCTAGGTGGCACAGGATCTGAAATCAAAAGGACCTGAGTTCAAATCTGGCCTCAGACCAAACACTTGACACTCATGCTGTGTGACCCTGGGCAAGTTGCTTAATCCCAACTGTCTAAGAAAGAGAAAGAAAGAAAAGAAAGAAAGAAAGAAAGAAAGAAAGAAAGAAAGAAGGAAGGAAGGAAGGAAGGAAGGAAGGAAGGAAGGAAGGAAGGAAGGAAGGAAGGAAAGAAGGAAGGAAGGAAGACCTGAATTCAAATCTGGTCTCAAACACTTACTAACTATGCTACCCTGGGCAAGTCACTTAACCTAAACCTGCCAGAGTTTCTGCAACTGTAAAATGGGGATAATAACAGCTCCTACCTCCCAGGGTTGGCATGAGAATCAAATGAGATATTTGCAAAGGGCTTAGCACATAGTAGATGTTATAGAAATGCTTCATCCCCTTACTCTCATCTATTCATTTGTGGTTCAATTGTGTCCCAATCGTAACCCCATTTGGGGTTTCCCATTTCCTTTTCCAGATGAGGAAACTGAGGCAAACAGGGTTAAGTGGTTTGCCCAGAATCACACACATAGTAAGGGTCTGAGGCTGAATTTGAACTCAGGAAGATGAGTCTTTCTGACTCTAGTCCCAGAGATCTACCCCACACAGCGCCACTTAGCGGCCCCCATGTATTTATGCTGTATGAATTAAGAGAGGTTACCTTGTGTTCTAATCTTCATATTGCTAACAGATAACTGTCTGGGAGGCAGCCTCTGGCATATACAGTATCAACCTCATTTAATATTGTATAAATTATGTCCCTACTGTTTCTAAAGCTTTGGTATTATCTGACACACTGTAGAGTACAGTCTGTTCACTTCAAGGCTTTGCACACAGCGAGTACTGGATAAATAGAATTCAGCCTCTGTGCTCGAGAACCCTGGGACTGGGGTGCACAGTTCTGTGAAGGGGAAAGAGTCAGATGGCCCGGGGGTTCTAGTCTACCCAGGAGGCCATTGAATCCATCCCACACAGGAACAGAATATTCACTAGAAGACACCCAGCACATGCTCCTCCAGCCTCAGCCTCAAGACCTCCAAGGAAGGGGAACTCGCCTCTCAAGGCAACCCGGTGACCTTTGCAACAGCTCTTATCCTCAGGAAGTTTGTCTTCATCTCAAGCCAAAACTGGTCACTTTTCAGTCCCTTCTTCCCTTTGCCCCACCCCACCGCCAGCCCCTCTGCTCCCAGGTCTGCCCTCTGAGGCCAAAGAACATAGCTAATTCCCTCCCTACATGCAAGTACTGCAAAAAAGCCATTATGATCCCCTTGTGTCTTCTCCAGATTGCGTACCACCCATGCCCTCAGCTGATGGTATGCTCTGGATACCAAGCCTTTCATCGTCCTGGTTTCCCACCACTGGAAATTTTACAGCACATTAATGTCCTTCTTAAACCATGGTGCCCAGAACTGAACACAGGCCTCCTCATCAAGTATGTGGGACTACCACCTCTGTATTCTTGGAAGCTACTGCCCCACTTAACGTGGTTCAAGATCAGCTTTTTGGGGCACCCTATTACATGGCTGACTTATATTAGGCTTGCGGTCTACTAACACCTTCAGCTCTTTTCAGACACACTCCTGCTTCACTATGTCTTTTCCATCTTATACCCTTTCTGGGTTTCAGCTTCCTACTCTGTAAAACGAAGCAACTGGATGCAAAGTGGTCATGCAGATACTTGCCAGCACTGTAGTCTAAGAGTATATGATCAAAAATTATGTTTCCTTTAAAAATAAAAACAATATTTGGTAAACTTTTCTAAAATGGCTCACTGGGGCAGCTAGGTGGCACACTGAATAGAACATCAACAACGGAGTCAGGAGGACCTGAGTTCAAGTGTGACTCCAGATCTTACTAGTTGTGTCACCCTGAGCAAGTCACTTAACCCCAATTTCCTTTTTAAAAAAAATAAGCTCACCCATCTCTCTGCCTCCTTGGGCAAAATCTAGACCAAGTCATAAACTCCTTGGCAGTCAGCTCATCACCCTAATATTAGATGGAACCGTGGGAAATCACCTATCCAGAGTCCATTTATCTAATGTCCTAATCTCTAAGAAGTCAGCATTCAGGAACTAACCCTATTGTTGCCTTTTGTATTTCTGTCTTTTGCTCCAGTCACTTAATTCCATCAGTTACCCGACCCTTCTCTAGTTAACTCCATGTACCCCTCTAATCCTTTTTAAAAAATTAAATTAAATCTATTTCCTCTCCTTCCCACTTTTCCTGTTTAAAAAGGAAGGAAAAAAAAGCCCTTGCAATAAGCATGCCTAATCAAGCGCAGCAAAATCCCATACTGGCCATGTCCTAAACCTTAGCTCTTGCTCTGCACCCTGAGTCCATCCCCTTCTGGCGGGTGGGGCAGGGGGACGTGGTCCATGCATCTCCAATCTGATAATTCTAATCATCTCTTGACTTAGAGAACCAGAGCACCAAGGTTGTAAGAATTTTGTGTTGAATAAGAGCCAATAGGTTTAGAGTAAATACCCAGTGGGTTCTCCTTGTAGAAGATGAAGATGCTTGCATGCACATGAACATATTTTGGAGCTAAGGTGTTTCTTTTGGGGGGTCTTGTCATATTCTTGATTCTGTTCTGAACCAACGACTTCTAGAGAACAACATATCAAATAAGTAAGGCCCAGTGACCTCAATTCGGAAGGACACAGTTCTTGTGAGCTGACTTGTAGCCACCAAGTTCCACATACCTGCACTCTAGGCTGTTGATAAGAGCCCTAAACATCAAAGTTACCTACAGTGGGTTCTAGGTAACTACATCTGGCATCATTGAATTTTATAAAACTGGCTAGGTTCCTGACAACCAAGTTCTAGAGAGTCGTGTGCCCTATAACTGAAGGGACACCCCCCCGACAAAAGCCAAGGTCTTCGGCATTGGTCAGATGGGCTTTGGATAAGTGAGTTCCCATTGACCTATCCAGCATTATGACAACTGGCACCAGGGAATGCGTTCCAATCTGTAAATCTGGTGGGAGGCATTTCCTTCAAGGCCTCAAGATTCAGTATCAGACCCAGGGAGGAGGGGGCTTGCTCTGATGACTTTCTCAGAACATCTGAGCCCTCCACAAGCTATGTGGCTGAGAAGCTAAGGGGCCAATGGCCCAGCATTGACACTGACAGGCTGTGGCACCCTCTCAGTGCCCCAGACAACTCAACACCTGTAGACTGCAGACAAGCTGTATTGGGAGAGGGAAGGTCCTCACCAGGAGTTCCCTACCTCCTATGAAATCACAGGTGCAGGAGCTCATCTTCTCCAAAAGTAGGACTCAGAGCTGTGAGGGACCATGGAGATCACCTGATCACAGCCACTCTCAGTTCACAAGTGGAAAAAAATTGAATTCTGAAGTTTTGGCTCTTAGAATCACAGATTTAGAGATGGAAGGGAAGCCCCTGAGCCATCCACCTCATTGTACAGATGAGGAAACTGAGTCTCAGAGATATTCAGTGACTTGCTCAATACCTCACAGCCAGGACTGGAATTTCCTAATCCAGTATTCTTTCCTGTGTACCAGACAAACCCTGGGCAAGGTGACTGATGAGGTTTCAGTACATGGCAAGGCTAGGATTTCAGCCCAGGTCTTTTGAATCCAAATCCAATGTTCTTTCCATAACACTATAACTGAGGCAGACATCTGACTTCATTCATGCCTCCCATTCTTTCCTGAACCCCATGGGTTTTGCTCAAAAAAACCGATTATCCCCCCTCACCCCAATACACACACACACATACACCCCCCCCAAAGGTCTAACTTCTACCCAGGTGTGTACAGATAGGTGATAATGGCTAGAGCACTGGACCTGGAGTCTGGAATACCTGAGTTCAAATCCAGCCTGAGAAACTTGCCAGTGTGTGACCCCAGACAAGTCACTGAACAGCTGTCTGACTGTTACTTCAACTGGAAAATGAGGATAATAACAGCACCTATCTTGCCAGGGTTGTTGTGAGGACCACATGAGATCTTTGTAAAGGGGTTAGCAGAGTTCCTGGCATGTAAGAGTATCCTTCCTTCCCTCCTTAGCCAACCCATCACGCCAGGAGTTGGTCTGGACACCTTCCCTATTAGTTCAACCCAATGGGCACCCCAGTCACTCACGTGGACAGAGTGTAGGAAACACCCCCAGGTGAAGTTAGAACACCTACAGTATCCAAGGCTTCTCTGGCAAAGTCATCTGAAGACTTCACCAAGAATTTTGTGGGTTGCATCTGGTCATGTTGCTGGAAACAGCCAGAGGAGTAAGAGTCTGGAGAAAGAAGTTGATGACTAGATGGAAGGGTCATAGCTCTCACCTACCCACCTCCCAAAGCCTTCCTCCCCCTTAGCTGGTCACCCATCTTTACCCCCACCCTCCTGCTACCTCACCAAACCTGCTGCCTCTCACCAGTCCCACTTACCTTGACCCCCTTGCCCTCTTCCCAAGCTCTCCCCCATCTCTCAGCTCCTCACAAACTTTCCCATCCACCTCTTCAGGCCCTAACAATCACACAAGCACATTCACACTCACACCCACACCCATACCTGTATGATAACTCCAGAGGACTGGTATTCCAAGGCCACAGCCCGAGAGAAGCTATTCATAAAGGCCTAGGAGTAAGAGAGGGTGAATCACAGAATTTTAGCATCAGAAGGGACCCAGAGTACACTTAGTGGAACCCACCCCTGAAGAGGAATCTTCACTACACCCTCAATGACAAGTAGTACTCCAGATTCTCCTGGAAGACCTCCCAAGATGGAACGCTCACTACCTCCCCAGGCAGCCTCCACTCTGGGGCAGCTCTCATTGACAGGACCCTTGTTCTGCCCTGAACACCTCATTGCTCCTGGTTCTGCCCTCTGGGTTCAAGGATAACAAGACTGGTTCTTGACTCCATGACATTCTTCCAAGTCCTGGAGGAGAGTTCCCAAGTCCTGCATGAAGCCTTTTCTTTTCTGGGCTAAATACGCCTGGTTCTATTGACCAGTCAAACAGCTAAGAAGCATTCAATAGCTCACTCTCTACAGGGGTTCTTCTTGGCACTAGAGACAAGATAAAAACCGAAAGCCAAACAAAACAAAACACAAACGACCAAAACAATCCCTGCCCTCCAGAGGCTTCCATTCTATCCTGAGAAACATGTGTCCACATGCATACATATCAAACATATGCTGGTAGTGGCCCAATGACCGAATGCTGGATCTGGCTTCAAGAAAATCGGAGTGCAAATCCTGCCTTAGACATGTACTAGCTGTGCGACCCTGGGCAAACTCACCTCTGTCTCTGTTGGCCTCCAATTCCACATCTATAAATGGGCATAAAAAGAGCACCCACCTCCCAAGGTTTTTGTGAGGATTGAATGGGATATTCGTAAAGTACATTGCAAACCTTCAAGTCTTATACAAATACGTGACTGTGGTTTATTAAATACCAGGTAATGGATAGGTGAAGCACCTGGGCCAGTGTGAATGATCAGGAAGGCCTCAAGTAGACAGTGGCAATTGAGCTGAGGTTTGGAGGAAGATGGAGATTCTAAAAGATGGAGGTGAGTAGGGAGAGCAGGACAGAAATAGAGGCAGGGGTGGGGGAGTACAGTGTCCTCTGTGAGCAGTAGCAGGAAAGTCAATTCTGCTGGGTTCTAGCATGCATAGTACAGATAGGAGACCACAGAGTCCAGCAGCAAGAGGGCTGGATTCAGGCTGGCCTCAA